TGTGCACAGCAAAACAAAATTGTATCTGATACACTCGCCACTCTCCACCTGTCAACAAGCATTTGCACAAGAGACTAACTCGGAATTCACTGCGATTCATTTGACTTGGAGATTTGATCAAGCCAGTCCAAAAAAGCGCTTGCATACAATTTTACACTGCCGAAAGTATTGTGATAGAGAACGCACAGACTCTACGGCTACTTTCACAGTGGATTGAATCAATAAACGAAGTGGTACCCGGCCAGATATTCTGAACCCATGAACTTGACCTTGTGTTTCAAAACTCAATTATTTGTTGGCATTGAGCAAACAAGAGTAGTCGAGTTTACATCAAACAATCAGCTCGAATATACATGGGGCTCAAAGCGCCGAGAGCATGGCAGCGCCACGGCACAAAATACGGTTACAAAATATAGCACACGGGTCACCCATGTCGGGCTCGGCTTAGCCGGTGACTAGGGTGGTGTTGGTGGAGATGGCGTTGACGTCAAAGACAATGGCGTTGACGTCCACGTCGTTGTTGACGATGATGAGGTCGCCGGTGACGCTGAGGAGGCTGCCGAGCGCATCCACGTTGGTCAGTGTGGGATTGTTGTAAACCACGAGCTGGCCCGCTGTCTCCAGGCTCTCGAGGCCATCCAAAGTGGTCATGTATTCGTTGCTGTCAATCTCCAGGCTGTCAATGTGCGTGACTGCACCAAAGAGCGACATGTCAGAAAAGAGCGTATCAAAGATGCTCACATAGCCCAGTCCCGCCGGGATCTGGCCCTGGTAATTGGTGGACTCGTCAAAGTAGAGAGCGGCTGCGTATGTCACCGTGTCCAAAAGTCCAGAGCTGAAGCCATCGCCACAATATTCGAGAAGGACTAGAGGGCTGTAGAGGTGGGTGACGCCAGCAAGCATCGCCTTGACGTCAGTGGCGGTCGACACGTTGCAGATCAAGTCATCGCCGTCGTAGCCGGTGCACATGTAGTCTGTGTAGCCTGGGTTACAGGCGCAAGACAGGCTACCAGCCGGCACCGTGCCAAAACCGCCACAACTAGACCACGGCACGCTGACGCTGGCGCCGTCAGCAATCTCGACCGTCTCCACCAAATGCGACCAAAGAGCTTCGCAGTCTGCGCACGCATCGATGCTCAGAGCTGGGGCAAAGTTTTGACCGAGCAGAAGCACCGGCTCGGCGCCGTTGAGGGCTGAAAAGTTGGTCAAAAGATCCGATGAGGCGATGGCGAGCGAACCAATGCGCGCCACATTATCAAGGCCGGCGAATGAGGTCAGCACAGGACACACGATGATCTCGAGCGCCCCGTCGATGGTGGTCAGCGCGGCAAGTCCCGAGAAATTGGTGAGCTGGTCATTGTTCTGGATGCTCAGCGAGCCCACCGTCTCAAGCTTGGGCAGCCAATCGATGCTGGTTGCAGGTACAGACTCAATGTGCACAGTTGAGACAGACTTCAAACTTGGAAAGCCTGGCTCGACAATGGGCATGCCGAAAGAGTTGACGAACAGGCTGCCTTCGATGCTGGTGAGGTAGGGCAGGTGAAGGTAGGATGTCTCGAGGCACGTGTCAGTCAGGTGAATGTCGCCAATCACGTGGCGCACGTTGGCTAGGGTCTGGTTGAGGGTCTCGGCTTGGGCAAAGTCCGTGCAGAAAAAGTCACCGGTGATGGTGTCGCACAGCTCGCCCGAGTACTCGGGCGAGGCGCAGGTACACTGGGTCTCGGGAAAGCCCGAATGATAGCCGTTCTGGCATACGAGCTGAAATTCAACAGAGGTGCCGACCGTGCCGGTGCGCTCGATAATGGTGGGGTTGAAGGCCAGCACGTTGCGGAGGTCCTCGTTGTCCATAATTTCGACAAAGCCCAGAGTGACGGTTTGAACGCCGGCAAAGTCGTCAAGAGTCTCAAAGCCAGTCCCGCGAAGGAACAGACCGTGCTCGCCGATGGAGGACAGGTGAGGCATGCCCAGACCCTTGAGAGCCGGACTGCCACGGATGTAAAGTCCACCAAGGTGCTCCACGAGCACATCGTTGAGGTAGCGGGCCGGGAGGTCGAGCAAAAAGGCGCCGGGCATGGTGCGCAGGTGGGAGAAGAGAGTAATGTCATCGCATCCTTCAAAGCATTCGTAGAGGCTGCGCCCAAAAGACACTAGCATCATCGAGATCCGAGGGGCGGTGGAGCGATTGACAAAGTCCTCCACGTAGTTGGGTGTAAGAAAGTTTTGCACCTTGCTCAGTGGGCATGAGCCGATCGAGGTGAGTTCGGAAAAGACGGTGCGGCCAACGAGCTGGATTCGGGGGATGTAGGCCATGGCCACGCAGCCCGTGACAGTCTGCCAATGGTTCTCGGGCCAGTCTCCAGTAAATTGCTCAAGATACTCTTGGTCGTAGATAAAGGCGCTGCCATCGATCGTGGTAAGTTGGTTGGCTGCAATGATGGCCTCGGCCACGATGCAGTAGCGCTTCATGATGAGATCGCCCCGAAGCGTGGTGACACCTTCAAGGGCTGCAACAAAGAGAGGCACATCGCTCGTTTGTGAACACTCAATGTCGCCCACGTAGATGCTACATGGAACAGAGATGGGGATGAGTGTGCGCAAGTGTGGGGAAAGCAGCGCCGGGGCTAGGCAGTAGGCGCAACATATTGTGGGGCACTTACTCGCAGGCCGGGCCCTCATAGCCGCTGTCGCAAAGGCAGGTTTTGGTTTTCGTGACATTGTCAATGACGCTAACCCCGTGGGTCGTACACCGGGGCAGCAAATAGTCCTTGACGGCTTCCAGAACTACAGTTTCATGGCCGTTATCCGGCACACCAATGAGGATGGAAAGCTAGCCAGGCGGCCTCGTGATTGAGAGCCAGGGGTACCAGGTGTTTGAAAGCGGCTCGTACCGTCATTGTCAAAAGACTGAGAGGCTATGGTGGGGACGGTGAGCAGCGCCGCGAGGGCGACAATGGCGATGTGGCGCAGCATGATGCTGGTGGCTGATGTGTGGTCGCTGTAACACGGCAATGGCACACTCGCAGCAGGCGGTGCTGGTGGCAGTGGACGTATTGGTGTGGCACGCGAGGTCGGATGCAGTGGTCGATGGTGGTCACTCGAGATCGAGGAAAATGAGCTGTCTGATCAAGACGCTGCACTTGTATCAAGCCATGGACGGTGGGTGGGGAAGCGGGGCATGGAGGTGGAAGGGTGCAGTGCAACAGAAGCAAAGGGCTTGAGCTTTGGCTGCAGATGGCACTTGGAAGCAGTGGATGCTGTCATTGTGCACCGTGGCGAGATGAAATGTAGCAAGATCATGGCTTGCTGCTCACGCGAGGCCCTCGTGGTTTGAGATCTTGCTCGAGAGGTTCAACGCAATGCTCATGAGTACAGTGCTCATGAGATACAGTGCTCATGAGATGTGCGCTGCCAGGTTGCTTTGAAGGAAAAAGGACACCAGCAGGACCAAGGTCAGGGCTACGGAGTGAATACGGTGGTTGTCAAATGGCATGACAAGCCTCTTTGTTCTCGTAAGCACATCCCAAAAATAGAATAGAAAGCAATAAAATTTTAAATGTGTGTCAGGTACTGACTGCTGCTTTTGACTTTATGAAGGATACTTTGATGATGATGTATTTGATGGCCATATAAACACTGATAGATTAAGGATGTTTTTGTAGATGATAATTGATTAAATGTAGGTAACTATCAGCCTCACAAGCAAGGGGGGATACAGGTGCCTGGAAGCATGCTTGGGTCTGGAAAAAGAAGGAGACCCAATGGGGTGGTGCTGCAGGTGTGGGTTTTGCCTGATTTACTCGTGAGCATTGCTTGAAAGGCTCTGCTGTTATCACATGGTTCCTGACCATGTCCTGACCATGTCCTGACTATGCCCTGACACCAAGCTGACTCCAAGCTGACTAGGCCCTGACTATGCCCTGACACCATGCTGATTCCAAGCTGACTAGGCCCTGACCATGTCCTGATCATGTCCTGACTATGCCCTGACACCATGCTGATTCCAAGCTGACTAGGCCCTGACCATGTCCTGATCATGTCCTGACTATGCCCTGACACCATGCTGACTCCAAGCTGACTATGCCCTGACTCGGGTTCTTGCCTAACCTCCACCCATGTCTGATGCTGGCTGCACCTGCTTCCTTTACCTTGCTGTCTCCACGCTAACGGTGTATGCTGGCGCTCTGCTCTACTTTGCAACCAGTGACCCATGAACTTTTTTTATCGCCGCATCACACCAGGACCGAGGCTTGCTTTGATCGAATCAGCTGTGGCCACAACGACGCACCAAGCCTGCATTAAGTTAATGTCGAAGAAATCCAAGCAGATGAAGAAGTCATAATGTTGCATAAGGAAACTTATGCTTAAAATGTTTAACAAAAAAAAGAATAAGATAGAATCACAAGACAAAAAAATATAGAGTAAAGGCCAACAGCACCATGTATTCCCATCTGGTCACCCACGATAGTACTAGCATGGCCCAACATGGCTTAACTGCGGCGATCGGACGAGAGCCGGTGTATTCTATGTGGTATGACCGTTGGCGGGAGCAGGTACAAAAAGTAAACATAAAAAAAGGTGTTGGTCTTAGCACCTTGAAGCACAACCTTGCTGCACTCCGAGTGACGAGAAGCTTCATCTGGATCAGGTCAACTAGTGAGAAAGAGTGTGATCTTAGTATTGATTCGGCAAGCTGAGGCCGGAACAGCTAGAGTGTATCCATAGATCCATCCTGATGTGCAGTTGTTCTTTTTTTGCTAAGCAAAGGTCATGGCTGATCCGTCACTATCGGGAGCATCACTGAGAATTTGAACAATTGTATCGACCGGTTTGCTGGGTGCTTGATCTTGGAGATGGTTGTTGTGCTGTTCAGACCCGGAGGGTTGGGTGTTGTTTGCACGAGTATTGCCGGCCATCTCCACCGAATCGCTGAGAAGCGACGATTTGCTCTGGCTGATCTCAGCCATTGAGCTTAGACTGACGGGGACGGTATCCGAGTGCTCAAATACCACGCCATTGTGAGGCAGCGACAAGCGATTTGCTTGGTCTGTCCGAGGTGAGCTAGGATGACCGCCGGCGCTGTGCTCGTGTGGGTGCCGAGGATTCAACGAGACGCGGGGGCTACGTGCACTTTGGTTTGAGACTGTGCTAAACCGCGCTTTTCGCGGCATCTTGACAGTTGCTTCCACGTCATCCATCCCCGGAGCATGGCCCAGCCAGTAGGTTTGCATTTTGCCCAATCCTTTGATGTTCACAACTGGATCGCGCTGAATCACGTGGAGGGATTGGTCGTGCTTCTGCACCAATGCCGCGGCCTCTGGGGACATGTGAATGCAGTTCCGCACGCTGTTGCTCTCCATTCGTGATGCACAGTTGACCGTCGATCCAAACAAACAGAATCGTGGCGTCAAGGTCCCCACCACATTTGATACAACCGGTCCGCTGTGAAAACCGACGCGAATGTTAATGTGATCACCCTCGGGCTCGTCCTCAATGATGGGGATTGCATTTGCTCCCGCCAGGGCATCCATAGCAAACCGAGCCACGCGAGCTGCATGATCTGGTTGGGGTACAAACAAATTGCCCACGCACATGTATGCGTCACCAATGGTCTCGATCTTGTACAGGCCGTGCTTATCGCAGAGTTGGTCGAATACTGTGTACAGTCGATCCAGCATATTGGAAACCTGAACTGGCTCTAGCGTGGCACTCATGTCCGTAAAACCGCAAATGTCCGAAAAGAAAATGGTCACCTCTGCATGATGCTCCGGCTCTATACCATGTCCCCAATCAACGGATTTCGACCAGAAAAACAAGTGGCGGTGAGCAGAAATGAGAAAGGGCCACGCTTCATGCATTACCTGGAAGACCATGGTCACTGCTGCAACAACTTTGCGAACGACGTACCAACAGTTCGGCCCTCGCGCAGTGCAGCTGCGATGTGCTTTGGAAAGACCTGCTCTAGCAGCTCATTGTCTTGAATGCCGCCCTTGCGTGAGTTGGCCCGCATCTTCCCCTCCAGGGGTTCAATCCGTCGCAACAGCTCGACAAACGTCGGGCGCATGTCGGGATCGGCTGCAAATGCCTCCTACGGGATACCAGATGAAAGATGTGACATAATGCCAGGCGGCCAAATAAAGAAAACAGGAGAAAGAAATAAAGAAGCAAGAGCAAGTGTGCAGAGATAGTATTCAGGGCACATATTTGCATTGAACGGACATTCATGAGGACGGCGAGCTCAGGTGGCATGTTTTCGGGTGTAACAGGACGCAGCTTGCGACCGAGAATGTTCTGAACCAGTGTGTTTGAATCAAAGCTCATATCCTCGTAAGGGTCCTCGCGTGAAAAGACCTCAAACATGACCATGCCAAAGCTATACACGTCGCTGGCAAATGTACACGGACCGCCGCGCAGCAGTTCTGGGAAGATGAGGCACGGAGAAAGAAAAAAAGGCCCGGTGATGAAGGCGGAAAAAATATACATATACAAGAACCACTGGTCGGCCAAAGCACGAGGCAAAGAGCACAGACCAGGCGCCATCCAGGCCAAAGTGCCGCCCCGTTGGCTGTGTTCCGAGGCAAAGCCTGCCATCCCAAAATCCGACACCTTGACTTGGAACTTGCTATCAACCAGGCAGTTCTAAGAACACCCGCAGAGAGCAAAGCACGGTTAAGCGCATTGCTGTGCATTGAAGAGCTCGGTGTGGAGACATAAAACGAGCACATACCAGAGCCTTCAGATCACCGTGGATCAGATCTGCGTTGTGCAAGTGTCGCATGCCGCAGGTTATGTTGTGCAAGCTGTTGTAACGAAACTCATCATCCAGTTCCATTGCTTCGTTGTGCAGCATGTTGTAAAGCGACCCCATTTGCATGTACTCTCTTGGAAGCACCCAGCCGTGTTGAACAGGGCAGGCGGATGAGAAGAAAACGAGACCGCCTCGTTGAACGATGGTTTTGCAGAAAAACTTACAACACCATGAGTGGCTCCATACCCGACTCCACAACAGCACCCACCATGCGACAAATGTTGTCATGCTGCATGCGGCTCAACAGGCGCATTTCACGGAAGAGCTGACGGCGCGCGCGTGTTTCTGCTGACGGGCCAAAGAGTCTACTCCAACAAGGAACATACGTATCATGGATGGTTCGACTTGGCTTGGAGCTTGATGCGTTGTTTGCGGATGCTTTGTTCACAGCTGCTTCGGCCTCGATAAAAAAGGTGCGCATGCGATTGCGGGCCGTATGATCCGTGCGCTTTGTTGTGGTTTTGCGGCTCGAGAGCGAGAAGTTTAAACTCGAGGACGCGACAGCGACGTCACGCCCGCTTGCCACCCTGCTCTGGCTGTGTTGTTTGCGATGCTTGTTGACGTAGGCGCGCTTGACTGCCACAGCTTGCCCACGGAGCTTGGCGGCCAGTACGACGCCAAATGAGCCAGAACCTAAAACTTCAGGTGGCTGATCCAAGACGAGATCCTTGGCGTCGATTTGCCAAATACCATCCGTTTTCAGGCGTTGTCGATGGTTGTTATAGAGGATCAGCGAGGCAATGACGATAATCACGGGTACCAGCACTTGTACAATCAGGATGCCAAAGGGTACGCAGGTGCCAGCCGATGTGACGTAGCCTGAGTCACACTCACAATTGCCGTCGCTGTATGTCTCGTGCGCAGCACAAACGGAAACGCAGGGGTAGCAGACACATTGATATTGCACGGTCTCACTCGTTGGGCATGGGTATTGATGGTGGGTGTCACACGAAAAGTCGTCGCGCAGCCGAAAGCCGTAGGGGCATGACATGTGTTCCAAATCAGCGTCCATGTTGCCACATGTCAGCGTTTTGTCTGCGTTTGTGGTTAAAAACGAGAGCTCGCGCTATATGCACACCAAAAACGAAATAAGCAAACCAGCGCGTGGAACCAAGAATGAAGCATCTACGGGCGCAAGGAACAGTTTGTTTGGTTGGGAAGACGAAGAACCAACCAGCAAGGCAAAAACCCTCACGGTGGAGAGAGGGGAGCGCCAGTAGCTAATGGAAGAGGCGCCAGCCTTTTCAAAGTCCGAGTGGTTAAACCCAAACAGAGCCGAAACGGGTCCATGTGTTTCCTAGTGAAACAGCCTTCCTGTGAGGTTGTCCCTCGCTTTGGCTCCACGGTTGGCCAGAGACGTACCTCCTCACTCAGCCCGGTGATCGAAGACAAAACCCAATCTGCGGTCAAGGGATTCAAGTACGGACGACAGGTCGCAATGGCACCTTGAGATAGGATAGAGCTGGATTGGGGCATTTGGTTCTTTGAAGGCGGCCCATCGCTGCTGCAATCCAGTTTTGGCTTACCACTATACAAATTGGTTGAAGAACGAAAGGGATAGGCCTCGCCCAAGGCGTTGAAGTGGTTGTATTCGTTGAGAAATTTTATGTTGGAAACAAACACAAGGCCCAGATCCATCATTTCTGAAGCAAGAAACGGCACGACGAAACATGCATGAGTGGCATGTTGTCACACACGATCTGAAGGCAACGAGCAAACCACTCTGACCGAACACGGCAGTAGCTACCTTCAATAATGCCGGTCTGAACAAAACCAACGTCTGCCAAGCCGTTGACAACGTCCAAGACCACCTGGTACTGATCTGCTGTGAAAATGATCTGACGAAAATCGGACAAGCATCACAAGCATCATGAGCTGATGATGTAGTAAAGCAACAACACAGTCTTTGTGCCCGGCTGTGGCCATTCCTATGTCTGTCTGTCCATTGATTTGTCCATCTGGCACAAACCTGGGGGTTGGCGGTTAAAATCTCGATGCCATGACGCAAGATTTCATGACGCTGTGCCGCATACCCAAAGAGGGAGTCACGCCCCACCGCTGAGATCACTTTGCCTTCGATATCAGCGAGGGAAGCTATATCGCTGCGATCGTGCTTTGTAAAAATTACGCCTCCCGCTTGCGACACGTCAACAGCTGCATCAGGGGGTGGGAAATCGAAAACAAAATTCAAGGCCATGAGTTCAGGATGTAAGGGTCAGGCAAACGCGTGAAGCAAGCTCTGAGGGGCGCGGCTCAACAAAACCCACTTTTGTGGTGGCGGACGATGGATGAGATGGGGGCAGCGCTCGTCTCCGCCGATAAGCAAGCAAAGATGTGGCTCGGTGTAAAGGCAAGATTGATCATGCCGAGACGAGCGTACTCGCGAATCTCTGACGTGGTTCCGGTCACATACACGGCTTCAACGCCAAGCAGAGACATTGAAGCATTGATGTCTCGCATTGCCCGATCATACAAGGCTATTTGCACGGCCAAAAGAGTAGATATTAGACAGATGGCAGACTCTTTCGATCCACAAACGCGACGAGATCGATTCGGCACAATTCAGGCGTGCTACTGGCAGGAGCTGAGCTGCACGTACAGTTGTTGATGAGGCCTACGCGAGGCATGACGAGCGAGGCCTCGGCTGGCACCACCAACAGGCTGGCAGCCAACGCCACGGCGAGAGTGATCCAAACTCCCATCTTTTGTTGGATCCGATGGCCAGCGAGCTTCAAATTCAGCAGCAGCAGCAACGGGCAGACCGACAAATGTAAAATGCCCCGAGAACATGTCGGAGCACACCACAGCGGCAGGTGTGGTCTGGGGTCGGGCAGCTCTCAGCACAAAGCCGGCCATGCAACCTGGCGGTGGCAGGTGCACAGGGAAAACGTTCCCAGAGCCCGAGCAGGCCGCGAAGAATCGGCAGCAACCAAGACAAAACGCACAACAGGACACGTGATGGGTTTGTTGGGTGTTTGAGCTTGTGCCTACTCTGCTCAATTGATGTCATGCATAAACCTATCTCGTCGTGAATTGGGTTCTGAGAACAGTGAACCGATGTAAATTTGATTTTCTATGCTTTGGGTTGTTTTCCTACGCGACCTCCCAGAGTTCGAGTCGGCAACCACGCATGCGCGCCCCCGTCGTGAATTGGATTGATTCAAGCATGGGTTCTGAAATGATGTAGATTTGGCCCACAAAAATGATTTTCGATACTTTGGGTTGTTTTCCTACGCGACCTCGGAGTCGGCAACCACGCACGCGAGCCCAGCAACATGGCACGGCTCGGCTCGTGTGCCGTGTGTGGGAAAATCATCACGAAATCGCAACATCCTTGGGGTGTTTTACATCCTTTGTATTGGGGTTTCACACACATTTGTGACACAACAATTTTTAGCAAATTTTTGCTTTTTTTTTGTCTATTTTCTTTGCCTTGGCATCGACGACTCGATCAGTGCACACCGAACGCACTCGGCCGGAATGACTTGAGCCTAATGAGTCGACTGCCCGCTATCATGTTTTGTTGTCGGCTGCATTGCATCAGCCCTTTACCCATGTACACATCAGCAATAAAAGTTCACACCTGTAGCCTGTATTGGAAAGACCTCTTGTGGTGAGAAGAACCAAGAGACCAAGAGTAAAATTTGCAGCAGAAAAAAAAAGGCCATCGAATTGCTTTTTATCCAGACAGCATCTCGTCAATCTTTGCTCTCCCTGTGCCCATTGTTTCAAAACCCTTTGCTCTTGTCTTTGAAGCTGTCGACTCAGTGTTATGGCAACTAGATCGACACTCATTGCCATATCGCGTCAATTCAAAAAGGCGTGCCTTAAAGGGCACGTTGGCAAAACGCACAAAAACAGCGCCGCAACGAAGCGACGTTTCGAGTGAGCTACGCTCTTGACACAACTTGATGTCTCGCAGATGCGAAAACGAAAAGGTGTGAAACAAAGAAGCAAACTTTTGACAAATCAAAAGACCTAGGGTTCGGGCATGACCAGGACCTTGTAAAAGCGTCCTTCACCACCTATGCACCACGCCATTCATTGTTTTTTCTCATGAGCGATAGACTAAGACGGAAAACACGCACATTTTTTTGTCCCTCGTCCCACCAATAAACCAAAAACCAGCGAGCTAGGCGAACGCACCTTGGCCACCTCGTTGAGAATCATGGTCTCCATCCCAATCTTGCCACATGGGGCGGGCACCACCGTTGATGTCATAGGTGAGCTGGTAGTCGTTCTCCGAAAAGAGGTGAATCAGACCGCCTGAACCAGCACCACCCGAGCCGGCTGCAAGCATCAAGACCCAAAGTTAGCAAGCAGCAAATCAGCCTGAAAAAGGGCAGATGGGGGGTCACATACCCTGAGGGTTGCCGTTGTCTTGACCCCACCTGCAGGTAGCCTGCTTGGGGTTACCTTGCTCACCCGCAGCACGGAAAGAGGCGTGGGTCACAACGTTGCGTGCCGCAATCACAATGGCACCACCACCACGACCACCCTCGCCAGGCGCACAGTAAGCTTCAGTTGTTCCGGAATGGCTAGAGTTTGCGTGGCAGTAAACATTCCAGAGCTTGATCAAAGACAACGCGTCGGGCATCTGGTATCACAGTAGCAGCAACATCGATGCAGACGTACCCTGGACCACCTGCACCGCCGCCACTGCCCAAAGGCGCTACAGAATTGGTATTGCAGGTTTTTTTTGGGCGTGAGCAGCATGTGGCTTGTTTCAGGCAGACACGAAACGCGGACATCTGAATACTATCATATTTTTTCAGCTCACATACCATCAGCTGGGCTGAAATCCACCACAGCGCGAACATCGTAGGTCGGACCACCCACAGCCGAATAATCACCATTGCAGCGGCCACGGTCCGGCGAGCCTGTATCAACCAAGCCCAAGCAGGGCAAGCCAAAGTGGTTGCAATGAGCCAGAACAATGAGTTGAGAGCGATGAGCCGATGAGCCTTTGTGGCCATTGCCCTTGCAAGGCGATCCCAACCACATCCCAAGCGCAATTCGCACCGGTTTGGCCCTGAGTACCAAAGCTGCCGCCGCCCCCACCAGCACCGTGGGCATTGCAATCGTTGAAGTTGCCACCTGCACCCGCGCGAGTGTCACACGTTGAACATCAAAGCAACACGAGCATCGGGGAGAATGAGATGCACGCCATGAGTCCGTTTTGCTCGAGCACGACGGGGCTTTGGTAGATAGGTCTGGGCTTGACTGACCGCCGCCGCCGGTGCCACCACCTGGACCATACCCAGCTTGGTTTCGTGTGTCCTCTACACGAAAACCGCACCCACAGCAAGACCATGTGATGAGCGCGATTCGACTTTGCCAACGTGCCTGTGCCACAATCTTTGGAGAAGACATACCCATAATGTCAACTGTGGTAACAAAGTTCCATGCGCCATACCAGCCAAGCTCCGAAACATCGATGCGACACGAGTCGCAGATATCGAGGGTCTGGGCACGGAAGGCCACGATGCCACCGCGGTTGGTGCGTGGATCATATGCGCTCGTCGTTAGGATGGCGGCATCTCGGAGTTGCACGGTGGCATAGTTGGGAATGATTCCCTTGCGAGGATCATAACCCGGGAAGACGTCCTCCATCAAGTGAACACCACCAGAGAGCTCAAGGTTGTTGTTGGCTCCGGTGCCGAAATGTACACCGACGCCCTCGCCCTCGCAATATGCTGGTCTGATAGGGCCTTCCGCTGAGGGTACCCGAAAATAGCCATACTGCTCACCACGGCGCTCCAGCTCCTTGCAGGTGCGGCCATGGAGGCACACACCTGTGCAGCTCTTGTCCACGATCAAGCGATAGACGCGACCAGCCCTGAAGCACCAATGATATTTTGATTCCGAAATATCGGTGTCCCACACACATCATAAGCCTGGTCACGCGTAGAGAAGCCAAAGCAAGCCAGGTCTGCATGCCACTTACCCGCCATAGCCGCCCCGCTGGCCTTCAGCCCGATTGCGTTCATTACCCCAGCTTTGACGCGAACCACGATGGCCACCATCGACCTCAATTGCACCGAAAGAATTGGTCTGGGTAGATGTTTGCAGGCGAACCAAACCGCCTGAGCCGCCACCGCTTGAACCCACTTGAGGATTGCCATCAGGCCAGCTGTAAGGAGGCAGGGACAGTAGGGTAGACGTCGAGCAGCATCGTCAGCGAAATACGACAAGGGAGAAAGTAAAAGATCAAAACCAAAAAAACAAAACCAACAAAACCCAAAAACAGTAACAAAAAACAAACCCACAACCAAAAAATAAAAAAAACCGCCTCTTACCTGCAATCGGACCCCTGAGGTAGACCATCTCCACCATTGGCTCGAATGATGCCCTGTTCAAAGAAGACAGAGCCTGAGTATTCGAACGGCTTCATTGAACACCCAAGACGAAGTCTCGATCTGAACAAACATTGTTTTGGATCTGCTGGGCAGCAATCTGAATAGCACCGCCACCGTGGCCACCAGGCTTGGGCGCGCAACTGCACCAATTGAGCATTAGCAAATACATGAGCTTGGGACGTGTTGATGCGTCGTAACCACAAATCAGCAGGTTGAGCACGCTTACGCTGATGTAGAAGGATGGCCCGGTCCACCGGCGCCGCCACCACTGAGCACAAGGAAAAAAAAAAAAAAATGACAGGGCATGTATAAGATTGCCACAACATCTATTGTTAAGACATGCTGGCGTGTGCCTGGTTGGTACAAAAAAGGCGATCGGATCTCTCACCTGCCCATGACGGGGCGACTCCAGAAAGGACCGGACTCAACGCCGTAGGTCTTTCCAGCAACAGCCGATTTGTCATTAATGTTCCGTTGAACGCTACAGACAAACGCAAGGCGCAGCAAAAACGGCCATCAGATTTGCTGTCAGGAAACAAATGCAAGTGAAGCGTCCCAGGCAAGTGCGGGCAAAGAATGCTTCACTTACTCTGGGGTGCCCAACTGGCCGGCAACGGCAAATGAGCCACTGAAGCCAATGCACGCAAAACGGGCACGGGTAAGATTATCACGAAGGGTACAGGATTGATGGCGGTCATGAGCAAGAGAACATCCGGAACACTTTTGTAGAAGCTATGCCATCAGATCGAACACGCACCCGCCACCACCAGATCCGTGCCAACCACTAAAACCTCCAACACCACCGCGACCACCACCGGGACCCTGCCACGTTAAGAAAAGGCACATGTGAGCGGGTTGCACGGTTCAAATATGCAACTGGGTGTGCTTGGTCAACCCACCAGTCCGGGCCCATTGCGAACGTTGTCGCCGTAACCACTGGATCCATAAATGGCGGCGCCGCCGGACCAGCCCAGCGCCGAGGCATCAATGGAGCACGTCTCGCAGATGGAGAGGAGTGAGCTGACGTAGAACATGATAACACCGCCTGTGGTTTTGTCATTGAATTTGTTGCAAGTGAGGCGGGCGCCATTGATGAGCGATAGGGAATTCCAGTTGGGGACGTTGCCGGTCATCCAGTTGTAGCCCGGGTAGAGGTCTTCGATGGCGTGCACGCCACCATCGAGGACACGATCGCCGTCGGCGCCGGTGCCAAAAGACACAGTCTCGGCGCGATGCTCCACGTTGAGGAAGCAAAACGCTTGAAATGGGGTTGTTCCACCCTGTAAAACCCAGTACAGACCGTCCGCACGGATGCCGCGCTTGTACAAGTCTTCACAGTCCTTCGCAGGCAGAGACTGTTCAGTGCCAATGCCGATGGCTGAGAGAGCCATCCATGTACCGCTCTTGCAAATCTGAGGCGTCACAGTCAGCAAAGACAAAGGTTAGTGGGTGGAGGGGTGCGTGAGGGGTGCGTGAGGGCCAGCTCTGACCTCAAGATTGTGAAGGGGGGTGGTGTAGCGGAGCAGGCCTTCGGTGGTGCCAGTGCAGGCAGCATCGGGCAGGTCTTTGGTCACCACCGACGCGTCGTGGCATGCCGAGCCGTCCCAAATCTGGCCAGCATTGGCGCAATTTTGCATCGTGACCATGGCCTGCTCATTCCTGAGGTCGTTCAAGCACCAAGAGCAGGGAGGATATGCGGACAAGAGTTGGCGTGTGAGGGTACCGGCGAGGCGCGAGCCGTGGTGTGAGGGCAAGACCATGAGCCAAGACCATGAGCAGCGTACACAGTGATGCGACCACCGAGGCTGGTGGCGTCTGAGGCTTGTTGAAGGCTGACGTCGTTTGTCAGTGTTGTGAGATCGTCGATGCGACCCGCTTCGGCATCGACGTCGTCCACAAGATCGTAAAGAAGGTCAGAGAGGGCAGCCGTGAGGTTGAGATGCGTTGTGTGGTTATCCACGAGATCGGCGATGATGCCAGCCTGCAGGCGCAGGACCTGTGTGCGGCGGGTGCATGTTGTCCGGTCGTGCAGCCGAAAGAGTTGATTGTGAGCAAGTGGCGCGGCGCGGCACGGCACGGCACAATACGAATGCCTGTTAAGGTGCAAGGCGAGGGGCAGAGGCATACGTCGGAGGAGACGTTGTCGATGCGGTGGCTGAGTTGGCCCAAGGAAACATGGTGTTGGTCAATTTCCAATCCCTGCGACTGCACCGAGGTCATGGTGTTGCCCAGGTTGGTGGAGAGAGTGGTGGCCAGGTTGCTGGTGTCCGCAGTTGTGTCGGCTGTGTTTGCTGCGGCCTGGGAGTGGCGGAGGTTGGTCGTGAGGCAGTCGGGTGGCAAGGGTTAGCCGCGCAGGCGGGATCGGTTCGAACTTGGCTGAGGGAGTTGAGGAGGGTGGAAACGTCGACGAAGCCCTGGGGCTCATGTGCTGTGTTGGTAGAAACGGTCGTGACCAGCTAGAAAAAAACCAAGTGGAGACAATCAAGAGCCGGGAGAGCAGGGCCACAAAGTGAGGAGAAGACGGCACTCGAAGCTGTGATTGCGCAGGAAGATCAGCGACGGTCTGCAAGTGAGGAAACGGGCACGCGCAGGAGAACTGACGTTGGAGAGAGCTTGATAGTTGGAGGCGGTGATGCTGGTGCCGAGGCGAGCCTCGAGGGCCTCACGTTGGGTGCGTTCAAACTGGACATCGCTGGCCAGGGTCTGGGCGTCCACCTCACTGTTCGTAAATTTAAACTAAGGTCCAGGAAGGAGGCGGAGGAATCAATGAGCAGACCAGGAAGAGAATCAAGTGGGGAAGCGGGAGAGGCAAAAGAGAGCCATGGATGCGGCTTCCTCATGAATCAAAGGCGATGGCGTGGCTAGGCCAGTGAGGGTCGGGCTGGGCGATAGTGTGGAGGGCACCTTGATGCCCTTGGAGGGGCGGTTTACGGCAAGGACGAGGTTGCCGTCCTCGATCTCAATATAAGGGTCCTCGGGCTCATTACAGGTACCAGCACCGTTGCAGGTGCCACCGTTGGAGCCGCAGGAGGCGCCGGCCGGTTTGAAGGGATTGGAGCAAGCGTTGATGCCGATGCATTCACCGATGGCATGGCAGTCGGACAAGGCGGTGCAGACCACGGTCTCACACACGTCCTCACCCGCGCAGGTACCTGTTTGCGGGTGCACACAAGGTCAGTCGGTCGAAGGAGCCACAAGTTGGATGGCAGATTTTGGCTTTGGTTTTGCGTGAAGAAGCCAGCGCGCGCAAGCGAAGAACGAGCCTCACCATTTTGGCACGAGTCGTTGATGGTCGTCGCGCGGCCATCATCACAGGCCGTGCCATTGGGCTGTTGTGGTTAGTGATGCGTCGAGGCGGGTTGAGGCGGGTTGATGCGCGTGAGTCGGTCGTGGTGCGGGTGGGGGGCTCACAAACCTGGCCGACGCAAGCATCCAGAGCAACGACGGACAAGGGACCCACGGCCACATGAAGGAGCAGAGCAAGAAGGACAAAGCCTCCCATGGCGCCCCTCGCCTCGGATCGGCAGTGACCACCCATCATCATCATCATCCGCAGCAGCAGCAGCAGCAGCAGCAGCAGCAGCAGCAGCAGCAGTAGCAGTATAAGAGCTGCGGCTCTCTACGTAAAATAGAGTTTGTGAGAGAGAGGGGAGGGAGAGAGAGAGAGAGAGTTTGAGAGAAGAGAAGAGAGAGGGAGACTTTGAGAGAGTTTGAGAGAGAGAGAGAGAGTTTGAGAGAGTTTGAGAGAGAGAGAGAGAGTTTGAGAGAGTTTGAGGGAGAGAGAGAGGGGGGATAGTGGTTGAGAGGAGAGAGAGTGTGTTAGAGAGAGTGTTTGAGAGAGTGTGTATTTGAGAGAGAGAATTTGAGAGAGAGAGAGAGTTTGGAGAGCGAGAATGAATAGGTTCTCACGTTTTAAGAGTGGCACGTTCCACGCAAAGGGTCATCGGACCTACCGCATCGTAACCAGTGGCACCAAAAGGCCACACCACCAAAACAAAAGGAAAAGTAAAGGAAAAATTATGACAACAATAACATTGAAAACAACGTTACAAACATTTATTGATGTCCTCAATATATACAACTAAAGATCATCAGAATCTACACAAACTACAATAAAAGACACATAAACTAGCAAAGCATAATCATTATAACACTTTGGTCAACGTTTTGGTGCCATCTCCAGACTGAAGAGCCAAATTTTGTTCAGAAAAGCTGTTTGGAATTGTGGTTAAACATTAGTGTTTGTAGATGCTGTTGTCTTTATCTGTTGTGGTGCCAAACTTCTTTGCTATGGAAGACATGCCACGAGCACCTGCCCTGCCATTGAGAGCGACGAGCCGCCCGAGGGAGAGCTGGTTTAGCCCAAACAAAAAAAGGAATACGTCGTGTCGATGGATCTGGCTCTGAAGTTTGGGACTGCATCGGTTCGAGCTCAACGTTGGATCACCGCCGATAGCTCGCGCTTAAAACGGCGACATCCCCCCTTGCAGTCTGTTTTGCAGCAACACTTTCGGCGGACTCGAGGGCGTGCGTGGTCGGACTCGAGGGCGTGCGTGGTCGGACTCGGAGCAACAACATTGTTTGTAAACTTGTTTGTAGGCTTGTTTGTAGAGCGGACTGCTGGTGGTTGCTTGATTAAGGATAAAGGCGATAAACAAGTGCTCACGACGGAACAACCATCTGATGCATTTTTCTTCATCACCTGCCCTGCGACGCTGCGAGATGGCACCCTTGAATGCACTGCGACGACTGGGCCTTGGGGTCTTGTTGTTGACCGTGCTCTTTGCTGCACTGGCTGAAGCAGATACCTACTTGAGCAAATGTTGCCACAAAGGACACAACTGCTGTGGTTCGTCCGACGTCAAGACGGGCGAGGAGCGTGATAATTGTGCGCTCGGTCAACGCCGATCCATTTGTGAGCGTGCCGACACTACAAGCAGGCCCACCCAGCCGCCGGGCAAGTGTGGCATTTCAATGCCCGACTGCCAGTTGTTCGATGATTGTCTGGGTGCCCATTGTAGTGTCGATGTTCCACCCTTTGGCAATCTCGGGTTTGGCTTTGAGCTCGCCCCGTGTGGTCCGGCCGGCCCCTATCTGGAATTGCAGCTTGAAGCGGTCGGAAAGGACCTCGCCTACAACATCTCCTCTGACATTGACGTTGCCACTCCTCTCTCAGTTTCAGCTGCTGGCGCAAAGGAGGGCCTGTACATTCGCGTCCATATTGGCAGCTTGGCCAATCACTCGGTGCCCCTGGAGATTGAGCTGGTGGCCAAGACCGACTTGATCGTGAAGGAGACCAAAAAGCTTGCCACCATCTACCAAGGCGCCTTTCCCGTCTCCGTCTGCTAAATCCCCTCAGCTCTGGCAGGCAACGAAGCAGCAACACGAGCGCACTGCTTTTGGCAAAGTGTGAAATGTCTTGTTGAAGAGACTTGTTGGTGGTGTTGTTGTGAGTAAAAAGAATTGACAGTGGTCGAACGAAATACCTAACGAGACAACGATTCTCGAAATTTTCTTCGTTGGCTTTTTATGGGGTGTGCTTTTATGGTTTGCAAGTTGTCCAGACGCGATACAAATTGAGCGGAACGAGAGCGGCCCCAATGACCGAGCCGGGAGGGTGCCGTTTCACACCTCTCAACGCGCTCATGACCAAGTTTAATCGCCGAAAAGCGCGCTGGCGGGGATGCCGGGGCGCGATCCTGCGGCTACACGGCAAAAACAATTGTAACTTTGGTTTTTGGAAACATTTTTGAATCAGCTTGCAAAACACACGACAGTTTAAACGTGGTAAAACAGGGTGGGAGATGCGACTTTTGACCACTGTGAGCTTTCTTTGTGCTTGAAAGCCCTGAATACGAGTTGAGCAAAAAGCAAGCTTTGAAACAGACTGCCAGAAAAAGGCACTAGACCAGGAGAGAGCAGTAGCTAAAACGGGGAGAGAGAACACGAGAACAAGACACCACCACGTCTCTGCGAGAGTGATTGCTTCGCAAGCTACAAGAACACAGTGCAAGACAGACCCGATGCAACATCAGGTTGGCGGCTCATGCTGCCCACCCTAGGTTGGTCCGGTTTTTCGAAAAAGCCATGCGCTTGTGACAGGACAATGACACAGTGAATCGACACCTGAAAGCGTCTTTTTCAGCCGTTGGGAGGGGGAAAAGACTGGTTCCCACACCCTGGTGTGCCGGCTTCGGCATGATGCATCATTCGAGCTCGCCTCATCTTGCGTCGAGCAACCTATAGCCCTCGAAACGAATCTGGAAAGCCTTGTGGCTACCAAGGAAATGTGGGGAGTCAGGACAGAACTTCGAGGCCCCAATGTTCAAAAGAACTGTACCCACATCTCGAGTTTGCTTTTGTCCTCTGTCCTCTTGTTGGTGAATGACCTTTTTTTCCTTTTTTTTTTTTTTTTGGGCTGCTCCGACGTTGCTAAGCACGACAACGTGAGGGTGAATGAGGAAGACGCTGTCAAGTCAGTGGGAGAGAGTATGACAGGGTGAGGTGAGAGAGACTGTGGAGATGACAAGCAGAGAGAGAGAGAGAGAGAAGTGTAGACAGACAGACACAAGAGGCAGCGATGAGAGTCAAGCAAGCGGTTGCGATCACGTCGTGTTGGGGCACGTGTGTGGTCGCCAAAGCAGTGCTGAGGTCCACTTCCAGGAGCGATTGAAGACGACATCGCGTTGTCAAGCACTGCGCCCAAGCCATTGGTCCGCAATCACGTCGTGCACACGAAAAGCTCACGCGCCAACGCGAGAGCTTGGCACAAAGTTTTTCAGCAACATTGTGGTGCGGAGCCATCAACCCCAAACCTTTCGTGATTGGCAAGCCTCTCACAATGTCGCGCGCCAACACTGACCATTGTCTTCTTTTCCCTCTGCATCAAAAAGGTCACTTTGCATTACAGCCCGTAACCGCTCCGATTGACCCTGGCCCCCAAAGCCGCCCAGCCCCAACCACAACCCCTTTCTTTGACTTGCTCCGGTTCGACCCAACTCTGTCCAAACCAGCATGGGACCCAACCACTTCTTGCTTTTTGTCCTATTCTACACCACTCTACAACAACCCTCGTTGTTCGCCCCCCACCACACCAACACACTCACACATACTCACTCGTGTGCACAACACAGTTACAACAATTCCCTCGCTTTCCCCCCATACACGATCACCACCATCATTGACTCGCACCCCCATCGTAACCCATGACCCAACCCATCCATTCCCCCCCTTCCCCAATTGCCAAACCAACGTCTTTTTCTTTGTAATCGGCACACACTGATAGACTCGCCGCCACACATAAATCTAACCTTACCACACAAATAAACGGTATGATAACGCTAAACATTACAAATATTCACGAATATATCACACATATCAACCACATTCTCATACATAAATGCCTTGCGTCCCACACACCCACAATGATGGGGGGACCCCAAGAACTTTTTTTACAGCAGAATGACGTCCGCTCCGTTGCGCCCCCTCGACACCCAAATGCCCGCCCCTCGTCTGCCCGCCTTGCTGCCTCACACGCTTCTCCCCCTTTGAACCTCGGCTGACCAACCTCTCCCTCCACTTACCTACCTGTCTTACCCTTCCTTCTCTCCCACCCCAGTCCCCGACCTCTCGCTTCAAAATCCAGCCTCGCCCCGCATTGAGGCATTTTCCTCGCGCCCCCCTCTGCCACTTTCCCCGATTGGCCCCTTTGCCTTTGGTTGGCAACCACGCTCAGCCGTTTTTTTTCTCTTCTTTCGGCATCAAGTCTTGACTTGACTGAAACCTAGTGTCTGCGCGCGCTCGCCCACGCTCGCTGTTCTCGTCCTGTGCCAAAGCCACCATGGTGGCGGCGTCTCAGCGACTTCCAGCCCTGCTGGCCCTGCTGTTGGTGGCAGCACCCCTGGTTGCCAACGCTCTCAACGTGGCCTCACTCACCATCTCCAGTAAGTCTTGCTGCCACAAGCTGACCTTGGCAACTTAGTGATCAGTCCTTGATTCGACTCATCACCCCTTTCCCCTGGCAGCCGCCTATGACCGAAAGCTTGCCACTACTATGGCCTACGTCGCTCAACAGGTACGTTTCTCCGCGCTCTGGAAACGCTTCATCAACGACCTTGGCAACCACGAAACGTGAAAGCGAAATTTGGCAACCATCCCAATCATATCGTTCTGGCACCCCGCCCGGCCTTGTGTATTGTCTTGGTTAACCTTGACAACGCTTGCACGGGGAATTGTTCACTTCTGTAGCTCAACATCAATGTGACCATCACCAAGTTGTCCGTGAGCCAAATGCACCAAGCCGCTGACCAGCTCGCTGTGAATGGCATTCTCTTTGACATGATGGTCGTCGATCCAGCCGTCTATGCTTGTTTGTCGACTGACAACGACGTTTATGCCATTGCCTCCTTTGACATGCCAGGTATGCTGGCGATAGCCATTCTTGTGCACCATCCATCCCATCAGTTCTTCTCTCGTCACACTGAGCTCACTCACATTTGTTCGTCTGCTAGACGTGGCCGGCCTTATCGTCAGCACCAAGCCCATGACCTCGGCCAACCTGACTGCCAGCGCCGGTCTTCGCGTTGGTGGTGCATCGGTATGCTTTTAATTGTCATGCCTTTGCAATCACTCGTTTGTCAAATCGTCTTACATACATTTTGACGCGCACGACTGATGTAGCCCTTCACCTTGGGAGGTGGCCTGGCTCATGCCCTGACCCTCAACGAGCTCGGCTTCAACGTTTTCCAAGACAGCAAGCAAGTCATCTTCTCGCAAGAGGACAGCAAGACGCTGCGTTTTCTCGACGATGGTTGGATCGATTTGGCCTTCATCTCGCGCGCCACGTGGCAAGGCCTTTCTCCCGCTCAACAGACCAACTACTTTCTCTTCAACTCGCAAGCCACTGGCTCGCTGGCCAGCCGCATCTCGACTGATCTGTACCCCACCTGGGTGCTGGCTGCCATCGGCACACCCACGGATGAAGCCGATGAGGTGGCGACTCTCCTGTTGTCCATCGATCCCCTCAACAACCCAGCTGAGAGCTCACTCCAAGACTTTCGAAGTGCCGACTCCTTTGCCAATCTGCACATGACACTGCGTCGTGTGGGCATTGTTGACATTGACGAGACTACCAAACTTGAGTACTGCGTGCCCATGACCACCCCCCGTCAAGGTCTCTTCTGCCCTAGCGACATGTCGCTGCGCTCTTCCGAAGATGCCGTTGATGTTGCTTGCACCAACCTGGTTTGCCCTGCCGGTGCCTCGTGCATTTGCAAGCCTTGCACGGATCGGGATAACTTTGCCGTTTCCGTCAATGGCCACGAGTGCGACCGTTACCACACTTGCGCCATGGTCCGTCAGCTCGATCACATCACGTTGGTGCTGGATGATCGCAACTCGCGCCTGGTGGCCTCACCTCAAGTCAGCATCTACGTCATTCCATTCAACACGACGTCGGCCGATTTCCTTTACAATGCCCCGATGACCTACAGCCAATCGGGCCATGTCCACTCGTACGTCATTGAGCTCAAACGTGCCGGTACCATCTTGATTGTGCTGGAATCAGGCATCACTGAGAAAGTGGAGTCTAGTCCGGTCATCGTCACCGTACACGAGCGCCTTTGTGACTCTGAGTTTGCCACGCCTGGCCTGAACGGCGAGTGCCTATGCTTGCCGCCCATGGAGCTCAACGGCCTCGGCGAATGTGCCCCTGATGGCCAACATCCCACACCCAAGCCCGTCTATCGTTTTGCCTACTACGAGCCCAGTGGTTTGTTTTGCATATCACTCGAGGCAACCTGTTCATGTAAGTTTCATAGTGCTTACCTCTGCTTTGCGTACTGCATCTTTCGATGACCCGTAGATAAACAGGCAGCAATCACCCGCTTCACGCCGACCATTGAATACCTGAATCGGATCATGCCACCTCGGTTTGAGATGCCAGTATGTTTACATTTGCGCACAGAGGCTAGCCCCTTTGCCTTTACTTGCTCACGCCGCTTCGCTCGTTGGATGGACCCCGTAGATCAAACTCCAGTTGGTTGCCATGACGGCCGATGAGCTTCATCAAGCCATCGAAGACGAAACTGTGGACTTTGTTTTCACCGAGCCCGCTCAATTCACATGCTATGAGGTTCAGCACGGCCTCGTGCCACTTGTGACTATGCAGCGCGAAGTTCCCAGTACGTAGGCGCTACAAGAGAGTGCTCCCACAGGTCCTTGTGTACAAGCTGGTCAAAAACTGACGTATTTGTTTCCATCTGTGCTAGCTCCCGATGGCGACACTGATATTCAGGAGTTGGCCGGTGCCATTGTCGTTCGCACCAACGAGGCCCACATGTATCAAAACTACTCCAATTTGGTCGGCAAAGCCGTGGCCATGGCTGGCTTTATCGACCTTGCTGGTGGCATGGCCCAGTGGTGGCAGCTTCGCGAAAACGGTGTTGAGCTGCTAACTGACGTGGCTCAAGTTGTCATCTCGCGCTCGGACGAAGCCAGCCTGCAACTGCTTCTCTCCAACCAAGTGGACGCCGCTTTTGTCACCGATGGCTTTTTGCAACGCAAGTATGACGCCAACGAAACCCAGCGGTCAAGGGTCTCCGTCTTTCGCCCTCTGAGCGGTCTTGTGGCAGGCCATCAGCCTTACCCACGCGAAAGCTCGACACCCGTGTTTCCCGAGTGGATTGTCGCCGCCATCCACAACGTTGATGCAGATGTACGTGTATTCCTTTCGCTGTGCTTGTGCAAAAGCGCCATCGCGAGCATGACTCGCAACCTGTTTCTCTTATTCTTCTTTGTCACTCTTGCAACCTCTCCCACAGGTGGCCAAAGAGGTGGCACAGATCTTGCTGGACCAGATGCATTACGAAGATTCAGCCATCGTCGGTCAACTGGAAGGTTGGCAACCGGGGATGTCGTACGAACCTGTGCGTGAGGTGCTGGTAAGTAACCACTCTCATTTTACTTCTCGAACATTTGTACTTTCCTTGTTGATGATTGGACACGCACGCGCGCTTACCACCCCGCTTGACATGACATAGTATCACCTTGGCTACATCTTCATGAACACGTCAACGCATGATTTCGTCTGCCCCCGCGTTGGCGACCCTTACGAGGACATCCATTGTCCCACCGGTACCTACAAGCGAGCTGCCAGTCAAATGCAAGCAGATTGTATTTTCCGGTGCCCAACCGGCATGTCATGCTACTGCAAGCCTTGCGCGGTCGCCGATGCTCAAGAGGTACGCTTCAAAGCTCGTGGGCGTGCCAAAAGACAATTCGCTTGTTTTTCATCGGGTGCTGCACTGAAAAATACCAGGTCTCTCCTGTCAGGGTCTACACCGCTGACGGGCGCCGGTTGACGACGGCTGAGTTGGAAGCGCTTGATCTCCACGACACCTGCACCGAGATGGACGTGTGCGCGAGTGTGGAGCAGCAAGGGTATATCCAATTCCAAATCGAGGATCATTTTTATGCCAAGGATGGCCTTGTGACAATCCGAGCTACGGTGCACGACACTTTGGCAGGTGACACGGAAGACACGAACCGTTTCAGTGTGGGTGTTCATCAAGGCAACGGCTTTTACCTCATTAACATTTCAGCTCATTATGTCGGTGCCCAACTGGTCGAGGTAAGTGCCACTGTTGCAGCATTCATTTTGGGTCTCTGCTCAAGCTCACAAAGTGTGCGTTGTTTTCCTTTTTTTTTTTTCCCTTTTTTTTTTTTTTTTTTTTTTTTTTTTTTTTTTTTTTTTTTTTTTTTTTTTTTTTTGGTTGTTGTTTCCCAATAGATAGCTCGCAACGGTGTCGATCTGGCTCAATCTCCGTTCCTGATCTCTGTCAAGCGGCGCACCTGCTTGGAGGATCTGCGCGAGGCAGATGACGAGGGCGAATGCGTGTGCAGCAGCATTGCAGATGATGTTAACGGAACTTGCGTCCTCAAGGGCATTTTTCAGTCGACGCGCACCGAATTCGTCATCGGGGCCACCTCCATCACGGACAAAGCTGGTGTGCAGACCTTGTACGCCCCCAGGGTTGCTTACCTCAACGAAGTTGGCACCAAGTATGCGCCTCCTTTAACCTTCACGGTTGACTTCATCTGGGTGGATCCCGCCATCTTCACTTGCTTTGAAGTCCAATACGACTACAAGCCGCTCTTGACTCTAAAGACCGAGCATCTCGGTCAAGGATATGACCATTTTGCTGGACAGATTATTGTGCGCGCAAATGACATGAGTATTACGTCGGTTTACAACTTGACCGACAAGATTGTTGCTGCCGAGTCTTTGATGGTTTTGGGCAGCGGCCAATCGCAATGGACCATGCTAATGAACTCCGGGTTTGAGCTTATGTCTTCCACCAGAGAAATCATTATCACTGGCAATGAGATGGACACCATTACGTACGTTTTGCAGGGTTTTGCCGATGCTGGCTTTGTACGTTCCTTGACCTTAGCCAAGCTGGATCAACTTGGTGATGTGGATGCTTCCCTCTTCCGGGTCTTGTCAGCCCCACTGGAATCGGACAGGCCTTCGGCTGAGTATCCCGTTCCGGTGTCAACTCGTCTTTACCCCGAGTGGCTTTTGGCCACAGCCCCCGGGATCGACGAAAATCTGCGCAACGAACTTGTGTTGGCCTTGTTGGATCTTGAACCCACTTCGCTGGAGGCACGGAGCGGCTTGTACCACTCTTTTGAGATGGCTCAGTCATACTCGCCCGTGCGTGATGTCATGCGTGACCTGGGTTACATTGTTCGCAACAACGATGGTACCTACTCGTGCCCTGACCGCACAACAACCTTTCAAACCATTCGCTGTACCGATGGATTTTATCGTAAGACCAGCGCGGAGATTGACACGGGCTGCGCCCAAGCTGGCATCTCTTGTCCGGCCGGCAAAACTTGTGTCTGCAAGCCTTGCCGAAAGGCCGACCCCGTGGAGATTATTCCGATCATTGCAGACACAGAGGAGGGTGAAGTCAAAGACATTGAGCTCGACTCGGCGTCTCGCATCAATTGCGAACGCATGACAACGTGCATCACGGCCGTGCAGCGTCAGCCCATTGGCTTCCATGTGTACGACAATCTCTATGCCGAGCGCGGCGACGTTGCTGTAACTTATATTTTGCACGACCGGAGATCAACTGAGGAAGCTGATACCTTTGGAGATAGCTCGCTTGCTAGCGTTTCCGCTGACATCCGTGAGCCCGGCCATTACTTCTTTCAGCTGAGCTCTGCTGCTCGCGGTTCGCACGTGATGGAGGTCTTCATTAATGGTGAGCAAGCACCCAATAGTCCGCTCATTCTGGCGATTGGCGAGCGCACCTGTACGGCCACTAACACGGAAGCTGATGAAACTGGTCTGTGTGTGTGTACGAGCACCTCAACCAGTGTTGGTGGCAGCTGTTTTGACACCAACTACCTGATCATCTCCATCGCTGTTCCCGTGGCTTTGCTGCTCGTGATCTTGATTACGGCCTTTGTTCGTTACCAGCAAAAGAAGGCAGATGCCCTCTGGACCATCGACCGCAGCGAGTTGTTCTTTGATGACCCTCCAGAAGTCCTGGGTCGTGGTACCTTTGGTCTTGTGCTCAAGGGCACCTACCGTGGATCTGCCGTTGCCGTCAAGCGCACCATGCCCGCCAATTTCTTTGCTGGAGATGCCGATTCCCTCTTTGCGCGCTCCTCTCGTACATCGGCTGCCACGCGCACCATGATGGGCTCGCGCAGCGCCAGCGCCAATACGCTGGGATCGATGCGTAGCGATGACCCCTTGAAGAGCCGTGCCAGCAATGCTTTCAGCAAGTCACTCCTGAATCGTATCAACAGTGACAACGAGGAGGACACAGACGCCAAGTCTAAGCGCACGCAAGGCAGCATGGCCGGCATGGGTCAAGGGGGACTGATGACACGTATGGGTGCGGGCATCTTGGGCAAGACCTTTGGTGTGCAGCGCCGCCGAGCTGCCATGCGTAAGGAGTTTATCACGGAAATGCGTCTGCTGTCGAAGCTGCGTCACCCCAACATTGTGACGGTCATGGGTGCCGTTACCGAGAAGGGCCAGGAACCACTGCTGATTCTGGAACATATGGAGCACGGTTCACTGTACAGTTTGCTACGCAATCCCCAGATGGAGCTGGATGCCGAGTTGACACTGCCCATTGTTAAGGACATTGTCAGCGGTATGCTGTTTCTGCACACGTCGCGTGAGCCGATTGTGCACTGTGACCTCAAGGCCATGAACGTGCTGTGCGACTCCAACCTCCGAGCCAAGATTTCCGACTTTGGTCTGACAGCCAAGACACAATGTGGTGGTATTGGTACACCCTACTGGATGGCCCCCGAGCTGCTTCGCGGTGAAGTTTGCACCACGGCTAGTGATGTGTATGCCTTTGGTGTGACTGTATGGGAAACAGTGGCTCGCACCGACCCCTATGACGGCTTGGATATGATCCCGACGCTTCGCGAGATTGCTCATCCCCACAAGTCCAAGAAGCCGCTCCGCCCCACCATCCCCAAGGATTGCTCGCAAGACTTGTCCGAGCTCATGCAATCATGCTGGAAAGAGAATCCTCTTCAACGCCCAACCTTTGAGGAGATTGACACGAAGCTGCGTTCGTTGCAGGTCCGCAACGTGGGCATGAACATGATGCAGGCACACATTGACAAGAAGCGCCAAGGCAATGTGTTGCAAGATGTCTTCCCGCCTCACATTGCCGCAGCCCTGGCTGAGGGTCGCCGCGTCGAGCCTGAGCACCATGAATGGTTGGTTTCCCGACCCGTATTCTGCATTTTTTTTATTTTTTTTTTTATTTTTTTATTTTATTTTTTTTTTTGTTGTTGTGTATGCTCTGCTTTCAGGGTATGAGTTTGGCTCGTTGCTCATTTCCTTCCTCGTCATGTTTGCAGTGTGACCATCTTCTTCAGCGACATTGTGGGCTTTACGGACATCTCGGGCTCACTGGCACCGGAGAAGGTGTCTGACATGCTGGACCGTCTCTACACACAGTACGTCGCGTCGCGTCGCCTCTTTGTGCCTTTGGACAGGGACAATGCGCCTGCTTTGTTTAGCTTTTTGGTTTTCAACTCACACCTTGGTCGGCATGGCCTTCTTGACATTTCAGGTTTGATTCGTTGTGCGAGATGCACGACATTTTCAAGGTGGAAACAATCGGTATGTGTGGACTTTGTTTGCCTGATCTCATCGATCGATCAAATGGCTTGAGAACAGCGGCAAGTCGCCCTCACAGCGTCTTGTTGTTCTCGCATGGTGCAGGTGACGCCTTTATGTGCTGCTCCAATTTGGTCAAGACACAGGATGATCACGCTGCTCGTCTGGCTCGGTTTGCCTTGGACGCCATTGAGGCAGCGGCCGCTACGATGATTGATGAGGATGATCCTGATCGCGGAACCATCAAGATTCGCGTTGGCCTGCATTCCGGACCGGTCGTGGCCAACGTTGTTGGCTCGCGCAATCCTCGGTTCTGCTTGTTCGGCGACACGGTCAACGTGGCCTCTCGCAGTACGTCTTGATTGTGTTGCGCATCACGCATCGCGTATCGTGCGTGCTTTTTTTAAGCTTGCTCGTGCTAACAAAATTGTCTTGATTTGTGTGACGTAGTGGAGAGCAACTCCGAGAAGGGACGCGTGCACTTGTCCAAGCCAGCTGCAGACCTGGTCAAGGAGCAGGATGCCAACTTGAATCTGGTGTCGCGCGGCAAGGTCACCATCAAGGGCAAGGGGCAGATGCATACCTACTGGCTATTGCCGGATGGCGTCACTCTGGAGGAGGAGACCCGCATCAAGCGCACTGTTTCCTTTGTGGATGAGGTGGCCGATGCGGTTGCCGTGGACATGGACGCCATTAGCGTGATCGATGAGGCCAGTCGCCGTGCTTCCGAAGCCAGCCGTCGGGCCTCCGAGGCCAGTCGCCGTGCTTCCGAAGTGCCAGGAGGCCCTGGAGGCCCGCGCCGTGGATCGGGCTACGTGTTTTACAGCGAAGACGATTACACGACGCCTACAGGTCCTGGTTCCCCAAAGGCACCTTCGACGGCAAGCTCGGCCATCAACTCGGCCACGGGTAGCGTCTCGGTGCACATGGGCGACGACAACTTTGGCGGGGCCAGCAACGCAAGCCTGCTAACGGAGATTGCCGGAGAAAACAACGGCACGAGCAGCCATGTCTAACTCAACAGTCATGCTGCAACATGGTCCTCCACTGATGGAACAGGAGGGCTTCTCTGTAATATTTCGGGGCTCGTGCACATGTTGGAAAGCAACTCTGGCACATCCCCGTCGCATAAATGATTCATGGCTACTCTTGATGCCGGATCTGGTTCCTGATCAACTTGTTTGGTCGGTCTCCCTGTCAAGCGTTTGCTGTACACACTGAATTGACAACTGATTGAGCGATTGATAATCTTCTCAGACCTATTCTGCCCTCTCCCATCTTCTTCCGACCCTGACCCATGCCTCGATCACATGCTTGCATTGAGGAGAAAATAATACACCCAGCCACCCCCGCTTGCTATACATCCTCGATGGTGCAGCCTCACCGCCGTCCAGCAAACTATGGGTCCCATAGGCAGGCACAGCGCAGACAGAGAGAGAGAGAGTTTGAGAGTTTGAGAGAGTTTGAGAGAGAGTTTGAGAGAGAGAGTTTGGGAGAGAGGGAGTTTGAGAGAGAGTTTGAGAGAGAGAGTTTGAGAGAGAGAGAGAGTTTGAGAGAGAGGAACGGATGGGCACACACACATTATGCCACACGTTCTGTCTGTTGTGAAATTTCAGTCATAATCGTATTCCAACAAAAGGATAATCTGATGTAGAATATATAAGAGTTTCTGCAGCATCTCAATGAATAATCGTATGGTTTGGTGCATGGTTTCTGTATCAGATTATTTAGTTTTGGTTGCTGGCCGAAACTCGGAGCGCGACGTCGCGAATCTCTCTCTCTCTTGCGCGCACTCTGTCGCATTCGCGCACACACTCTCTCCTGGTTCGAGTGATTTCGTCGCGAGCACGATCAGAGATGGCGGCGGGACAGCAGCGAGGCTGGGCCTGCTGGGCCGTGGTTGTGGCAAGCCTGGTCGTTACGGTCAGCGCCGAGCCAAACATGACCGTCAACGATGGCAACCTGATGATTAATCTTGATGCTGGTGCCACCATGGAGGTTCAAATTGGCAGCGACTCCGCGTGCCGCATTGATAGCCTTTGCGAGGATCTCCAGCTCGAGACCACGACTCGACAGTATGTTTGCTTTCTGGCACGCGGGACAGGGGAGAAAGACGTGATGCTGAATGCTCGGTCTTGTGCTCAAGGTCGAGTCCAAACGCCCTCACACAAGCGCTATTTACCCGCCTCAAACCCAGAGCCAACGAGGAGGCGCTAGAAAATCGCATCACCAACCTAATCAACACCACCGTGTATCCGGAGCTGGCCCGCCTTCAAGCCAACAAGGCTGATGGAGCTGCTCTTGAGGCCCTGGAGCATCGTGTCAAGGAAGTGAACGACACCAAGGGCAACGCGGCCGATATCACCGCATTGGAGACTCAACTGGCCGATTTGATTTCGCAAACCATCAACCCTGGCTTGGCCGATCTGCAAGCGTCAAAGGCCAACGTGACCGACCTTGAAGCCCTCGAGCTCAGTCTGCAACTCCTCAACGTCACCAAAAGCAACGCTGCCGACGTCGATGCCGTACGCCTTGCCTTCAGTCTTTTGCTCGCGGGTGACATCGTGCCTCCACGCATTGGCACCCTTTGTTCACGAGCCTGCCTCCTCGCCCCGCCCCGCCCCGTGTATCCCAAATAGCTCTCGCATTTTCTGGCACAAGTCCACGCCTGTCTCACTCAGGTGCCCCCGAGCGCCTACGATCCCATTACGGACCGCTGCGTGGATGAAGGTTTCCTTGAGGCCAACATCACAGCCCTTGCCGCCAACGTGGCTCATCTCATGAACCAAGAAGCCCAGGCTGGCACACACGCCGCCAAGCTTGAGGCTTGCCTCAACAGCTCCCGACCCGGTCGCTACAACCCGACCACAGACTCTTGCGAGCCCCTGGTGGTCCGTCCTCGGCTTCCCAATCTCGTGTTGTTCTTCATACTTTTTTTTTTTTTTTTGTTTTTTTTTTTCAAGGGGCGGGTTTCTGGGGGATAGTGCATCCGCCCGGGCTTTCATCGAGTCGGTAAAATTCTTGATGGTGCACTCCTCATGTCCCTGTTGTCATCCTGTATAGCTGGACGCTTGCCCGCCAAGTGCATGCCCAGCTCCCTCCCGATGCCGCCTGCAAGCCATTGGCTACAGCTGTGACTGCCCGCCCAGCACCTACCGCGCTGAGGTGATTTCTTTTTGAGGCGTTCATCTCAATGCTTTGTTTCAGGCAGAGAATTCTCATGGCGCATCAATGTGCTTAGAATGGCACTTGCTTCGATTGCGCAAGTGGCACAACCACCCACGAATGGAACCTTGCTTGTACGGAAAAACCCAACGCCCTTGCCCTGTCAAGCATCCACATCGCTGTCTCGTGGGCCTGGTCTTCACTTCTCGATACTCTCTTTGCTTGGATACCATCGCGCAGCCTGTCCGTTGAACCTCCACAAGTGGACCTACTTTTCCACCACGCTGCACTTTGATGCCCTCAAGGAGGAATATGACGACCTGCATTACGAGTATGGCTGCTCCTACAATGGCTTTACCGTACGTTTGTCTACCAATCCGCTTGCTGAACTTTGCGCATCATTTCGTACTAAAAGATACCCATATCTTGTCGTCGCCATCTGGGAACAAGCGGCAGAAGGGGGGGCGAAAAAAGGGCATTAGTGTTGACATGGCATCGTGCACCTAATGCTCATTTCAGTACAAATTTGTGATCAATAGAGCTGCCACTGGACGAGTCCCAACGAGGGCGCGACCATGCTGATGGCACATCCCTTTTACCCACAAGGTGACACACGTACTACCTTGGTCTGGGGTACGACCACTATCAACCAAGGCTTATACTTTTCCGAAGCCCAAGGCAATCGCGTAAGCTTTTTTGGCGGTGGCAATGAACCAGGGCTGGTGTTGGCATTCGCACTTGGTCTTGGTTTGACTTGTTGTTCATGCACAATTTGTGGTCAATTTGGTAGTGGACCCACTTCTACTATCAGCTCGATGACAATGGCAATCCCAACTATCTCGGAAGCAACGGCATCAGGGAGGATGTGCGGGTACGCTTGCCAGCGACATTGTTGAGGGCTGCAATTTTTGAACTTTGCCGCCACCTTCAATCACGCACGGGAACGCACGACGTTGCAGGTGCACCACCGTCCACTCTACACACCCTGGGAGCGCGTGGGTCGCTTTCAGGATTTTGATACGATTGCCGCGCAGTAAGATGTTTTGGCTGAACTCGTTGCTCATCTCGGCCAGCGGCCTGACTTGGGACTGCTGAGTGGGGTTTGGATGGCTCAATGCTTTTTTTGCCCCCTTGACCCGTGCTGATGAATAACAGATATCCACAGGAAGAGTACTGGTGGGGGACTCGCATCACAGGACAGATCCAATACTTGGGGTATTCCAAGTGGAACACACCGTCCGAAGCCCTGACAGCCTATCCATTTCGCATGTACAGTGGCGACCCGAACAACGTGCAATATGTTGCTGACGTGTTCACTCGTAACTCCAGAGACGGCGGCGATTCGGGTGACGGGTGGAACCACCGAATTTACCAGCTTCCCAATCAACAGTTGTACGAAGCCGGTGAGGTCGCGGAGCACTTTCCGTTTTATGTTCGCAAGCGCCAGAACAGCTGGGTTACTGATGACGAGGTAAGTGAGTGCAAACGGCCTTATTGTTCAATGCGGGCGTCAGACTCTCACCTGCGTTTGCGTGGGGTTGAACAGTTTACAACGATGGCCGACTTTGCAAACCTGGCCAACAAGTATCCCATCACCGAGTATGAAATCGGCGTGGTGGCCAACGGCGCTACACGCCTGAGCATCTTCACGGGTGCGCGTTTGTGCCGAACCAGCATCTTTGGTCCCTGGTGGCGACGGTCTCACGGCACATTGACTTAACACCTATAGGTTGGAACTTGGGACAACGTGTTACAACATACCCATTCCACCTCCAGGGCGACAATGCAGATGAAATGTGGCTGGGCACAAGCGTGATGAGCTACAACGTGCCCTTGAGCAGTGGCACAATTCCCAATTATTGGTATCATACGTACTATGCAGTTGGAGGAGGCAACGACGTTGTGAAGACTAGCAATGGTAAGTTTCCAAGACACCCACCATTCTTGCGCGCAGACTCATCCTTTGATTCACGTCAATTAATTATTCTTTGAGAGCCTTTGTCAAAGCGGATTGGTCGTTCTTTTCAGTCTCACTTTTGCGTTGCTTCCCACTCAAGGTGATGTGAGCACGCGGCCCATTCGCGTGCGCAAGCGCACCGCACCCTGGGTGCAGATCGGAACCTTAGCAGACCTTTTTACCTTGTCTGCGTCATATCCTCAGGCGGAATACGACTATGGCTTGGCCTGTACGTAGCTTTGACCCCTGCGTATCGCCGTTGGTCGACACTGATGTGGCTCTGCATATCATGATCAAAGTCCATGTCTTACTCTTCGGATCACACATCTCTTTGCAAAATAGACAATGATCATGTGCTGCCAATAACACTCAACGGCTGGAATTTGGGCACTCGTGCAGCTGTTTATCCCATGTACCCAGTCAGTATACCGCGTTGTTTTGTGGCTGACAATTGCTGTCAACGCTCACATCACATTGTGGTGTATGTCTGTAAATTCAGATCTATGATGATGCCACAGAATACGAGTTTGGCGCCGCTGTTTTCACGTACAACCTGGCAAATGAGGTGGACAACAACTGGCGTCACAGCTGTACGTGTTTGAAATGAGCTGGATCTTTTGCGTTGTGTCGGCCACCATGTGCACTTGATGAAACTTATGTTTTTTTGTGTGCGCCAGATTACACCTTTCCCCGAACGTTTGTCGGCAGCAACAACAATGCCGGCCTGACACCCTTGTATGTCCGTCCAACACAGTTTGATGAGTTGGTCTACGCCTCCTTGGTGTAAACAAGACGTGTGACTACTTTGACGTTTGCTTGGTCATTTTTGAAGTTGCATACCATTTGTTGCACGCGCATTATTGTTTTATTTTTCGTCCATGCTGCCTGTCCGTGAAAAATACAGGTCAGATTTTTGTTAGTCGAGCATTGGTCATCTCATGAGACAGGCACCAGGCGATCTGCGTAGCGAACTTTTATGGCAGCAGACAGGACTATGAATGAATTGGTTGATCAGAGAGAAAGAGAGGGAAAAAAAAAAACTCAACAAGCCAAGGTGTAGCATTTGACAACCAGTTACTCGGAATGAATGTTTGGGTTCATTTGCGGGTCGAGCAAGGGGTCGTTGGCAAAGCTTTCCGGTCGTGCACGGGTCATCAGCTGTCGTCGCAGACATCAAAGTTGAATGTGAGCTGGCCCGCTGGGGATCGAAGCCAAGAGGTTGGCAGAGGGGCGAAGAAAAGCCTTACCTCAATGACAGTAATAAAGGCCACGAGAACAAGAATGACAATAATGACGGTGCGTTTGAGACTTGCAGCTCCGTCATCGCTTTGAACAGGGCGTCGTCGCGTGGCCATGGGCAGAGTCTCCTTTTGATTTCTGCTCCAAGAAAAGGAAAACCCGTGAGGGATCTGAAGATGGATCGACTGACACCGAGGAGGGCTTGAGCCAGGCCAGGCGGTTGCAGTCACTTACTCAACCATGCGAGCAAACCATTCGTTGGCAGCCTTGGGTTTGTATTTGGACTCATCAGCCGATTGCGCCTCGTGGTCGTGACCAAGGGCATGGGCTCCTGTGGAATGGCGGCCCCCCTCCCGCGCAGCGGGTAGTTTGCGGGGCGAGGCTTGGCTACAGGAGGACAAGTTTTTGGGGTGGGCGGTGAATTTGCTGCCACGAGGCACTGAGCGCGGTGGGGGTGCACGGGCCAGGACTCACATGCGCGTGGTGGGTCCGGTGTTGACCGTCGACGCCTGAGCCGGGCTGAGGGCATCAGTGTTTCCAGGCGCGGGCCCGTGTGCCCAGGCCTTGTCCTTGAGTTTGGCTCGCACTTGCTGAGCTACGGGACCTCCGTTATTGTCATCTGGAACAATCCGAGTCTGTGATCGAGAAAGACAGAGGCGCACAAGAGCCGAGGGTCAGGGGGAGGAGGGGGGAAGCGAGTGACGGGCGAGGCGAAGGCAAGTGGTGCATGAGCTGCCAGCATCTGCAAGCACGCACTGGACACACGGGACACTTGTAGCCGGCGGGCGCAGTCGTGGCGGAAAAGTCCTGGGCATATCGGGAGAGACATTCGAGGTGAAACACGTCTGGCGTTGGCGAGAGGAGCAGCGCGGCACACGTGTGATCGGGAGGGGTGAGGGAAGGTCGCGATCGGCGAGAAAAGGAGGCAAGGGCGCAAAAACAGCAAGGCGTCTGTACCATACCAAAGCAAGTTAATCTGATGGTTTCTCGCCCATCATTGAGGTCTCCACGGCAGAGTTTACACGCTCCATCATAGTCGGTGTCTTGGAGCCATTGCAGGTAGGTCCGTACTTGACACTGCCATGGCCAATCAGGATGCAAACACAACCGGGGGATAAGCTCTGACTTGGGTGTCACTCGTGGCGCGGGCGAAAGTGCTGCTTGGCAAGTGGGTCGTACGTTGGGATGTTGACTAAGCATGCACTTCTCGCACACGTTTTTGGTATGCTGGCAGCAAAACAGGGACGTGACGTTGCGACAATCACAGAGGCCCATTTCGCAGGTTGGCGCGTCCGAAAACGCGGAGAGAGTAGAGAGAGTAGAGAGAGAGACCAACACCGACACAATCTTCTTGAGCAGCAGCAGCAGCCGCAATGGTAGCGGCAAGCGACAGACAGCAACAGTGGCGACGGTAGTACTGATGCAGCACTCGAATGCAAGGGACCGGCGGTCCGAGCCGAATGCAGCTCGTTCACAGCGCAGCCCCCAGCGAGCAGCGAGGCGCTCAACGGTCGTTCCAAAGCTCACAGCAAAAACCAGCTTCCAAATCCACCATCAAATCACCTCAGCCACTCGCTTCCACATCCACGGCTCCTCAGGGCTCTCCTCCACCAGCAAGCGCAACACACACCACCAACAGCACAGCCCTCCCACAGCATCTGCCCCCGCCAATGCCACTGCCAAATTGCCCCGTCGACGTTACAAAACCCGGTAAAAGAAGCTGTTGATGTCAACCCCCTCGGTTTCTCCGTTTCTCTCTCTCTCTCTCTCTCGATGTGTGTGTGTCTGTGTCTGTGTGCTCTGTCTCTGTCTCTGTCTCTCTGTCTCTCTGTCTCTGTCTCTGTCTCTGTCTCTGTCTCTGTCTCTGTCTCTGTCTCTGTCTCTGTCTCTCTCTCTCTCTCTCTGCGCCTTTTCTCTCTGTGTGCCTTTCTCTTTCTCTTTGTGTTGTCTCTCTCTGTGTCTCTCTCTGTGTCTGTCTCTGTGTCTCTGGTTCTGGATCTTAGGAAGAGGTTCTGCGCTGCTATTATCGTATTCGTACTACTACTGCCACGACTACTTCGACCGCCACTGCCACTACTACTTCAACTGCCAGCACCACTGCGACTGCCACTGCCACTGCCACTGTCATTGCCACTGCCACGGCCAGATATATTTTTCTTGCTTTCAAGCAAATTTGAATCATTCATTACCATGACCAAGCGGAACGTCACCCCGGCTGACGTCTCCACTGCACCCATTCTCTGGATTCAGCTTGAAATTTAGCTAGAGAGTAGCCCACCAGTGGATCATTGCTCTGAACCGGTTCAGTTTCTTTTGTCTTCTTGGAACCAGAAGAAAAAAAAGGTACAAAAGAAACTTTTCCAACGCCGACGCCGTCAAATGGCAGCCGGTCCCCCCGCCCCCCGCCACCGACGGCCTGGGCGCCCTGGATGGACGTACAGGCGCCCTTCACGACCATAAAGTGTCTCTGTTTGATTGGTTGCATTACATGCAAGGATCAATGGCGTACCCTTTGGCTCGCGATGGACATGTGGGAAGGCACCCCAAGGGAGGCGTGCCTGTAAACACTCGCAGTGGTCGCGTCGTCTCATCATGCGTTGTGTCGGTTGGCAGCGGGTAGATCCAGCAAGCACCAGCTGGCAGCCAGGCAGGCAGGTACACGGGCAGCGCAAAAGCAACCACCCATCATGTCTTCGGAGGCGTTTGAAAACTCGGAGATGGATCTCCAGGCGGAGATTGACAAGCTCCGCCGCCTTCAGTCTCAGATCTCAAACTACTCTGGAGGTACGAACCAAAAGCCGCGTGTTCATGCGCACGTCCCGCGCTTTCTTGCCCATGCTCACCTCGTAACAACCATCGTGACAAACGCGGAGCAGAGCAACGCCGACAGGCGGTGCAAGAAGCGCAGAGTCACCTGGATGAATGCGAGGACCTGGTAGGTCAAGACGATTTTTTTTTTTCATTTTTTTTTTTTTTTTTTTTCCAAATCCATCGCTGTTTACTCAACTCACAATGGCTCGTTGCACACCTCGCTGGACGGCCTGCCTTGTAGCTGTACGACATGTCAGCCGAGGTGCAGAATGCCCCGCCCAGCTTACGGCAGCGCATGAATGCCAAGGTCACCGACTATAAGCGCCAGGTGGCCAACTTTAAGAAAACGATTGTACGTCTTGTTTCTTGTGCCCCACTTTTCTTCCCAGGGCAGACCACTTTCCAACCATCAAGTTCTCACAACTCGGCTTGTTTGTGATAGACGGCGGATGGTGCTCGCAGCGATCTTTTGGGTGGTGCTACTGGCCGTCCTGCCTACGTACGTGTTTGGCGGTTTCACCTGCCTTCCCGAGTCGAGGCGCACCTTGCATTGATGTTGCGCCGTTCTCATGCCACGCTGCCCCCCGCTGTTGGACATGCACATATTGTATCGGCAGTCAACGCGTGACAAGGCGTTGGGCAACCGTCAGATGCTGGACGAGAGCTCAGCGCGCATTGCCAACACGCAGCGCCTCGCTGCCGAGTCGGAGGAAATAGGCCATCAAGTCATGGTGGATCTCAACGATCAGCGCGAGACTATCATTCGCTCTGGCCAAAAAGTGCGTCAAAAATGCACCCTTGCTCTGTTCTCGCCCTGACAGAAGGCTCATGCTCATATTTGTGCGGCTGTCCACCTGCTCCAGGTGAGTGCTGTCGACGCCAACTTGGGCAAAGCCAATCAGCTCCTCAATGGCATGACCCGCCGGTACGTACCCTCTTCTCCCACTCGAGAAAGGACCTTCCTTGACACTCTGAGAAAAGCCAAAACGCCTCGACCCTCATGCTCTGTACTTTCCACCTTGACTTGCCGGTAGCATTATGACACACAAGATTGTCATGATGAGCACAATCTTGCTCCTCATTGGCATCCTGGGCGGTGTCGTGTACCTCAAGTTTTTCAAATAAAGCCGCTCACACCCCTCGTGTGCGTTGTTTGTGCAAGCAAGACCCTTGCATGCTGCAGTCACCAGTTGTGCATGCTGCAGCGAGTTGCCGAGGCCATCCAGGCCCTCTGGCTAGGTTTTTCCATATCTCTGCTCCTGTATTTGTGTTCCTCCGTTTGTGCGCTTGTGTTTCGCCTTGTGGGTGGCATTGTGCAGCTTGGCTGTCCCTGTGTCCCTTTATTGTTCATGGGTTTTATGCATCACTGCTCGCGCTCTTTGGGTATAGTTACCCTGCCCCTGCCCCTTCCTTCAGCAAAGCGTGCCCGGCCATGTTTTGCAATTTATAGGAATCTGCTCTGTCCTGGCGCTGCCTTTCACCAACGTTAACGTGCACACACACGCCCATGAATGGGCCGGGACAGACAGGATCACACAGCTCTTGGCCGCCGTCCATCCGTTTGGTTGACGAGGGAAGGCACAGCGGTATTCAAAATAACGTCCGGTGGACGCCCATCACAATGGCGCCAAGCTGTCGTGTGGCTTTCAAACTAGATTCAGATTGGGAGGTTCGAGAAAACAACAGGGACTCGGACACGCATGCTGGCCAACCTCGCCACCTTCTCGACTACTCGCTCGGGTTTGCACCGAGCTCTTGGGTTATCTCAGCGCGCAGCGCTTCCACGTCCATGCCAACCCCGGCCATGTGCTGCAGCAGGAGATGCAACTCGGTCGTAGATCCATCAACTTCTTGGGCGAGGGCGTCCACGCTCTCACCACGCGCAGCCGCCGTGGCGTCTCCACCAACATCGCCATCCTCGCCCTCACCAAAGCCCGCCAGCATGCTTAGCAGCTTGCTCTCCAGCATGGAGCCCGAATCCTCCATGGCATCGAGCACCGCTGCTATCCGGTCCATGGTCGCATCCACATCCGCAATCTCCTGCAGATCCGTGAGCAAGTTGTTCTCTGCTCCTGCAACCTCGACACTCGCCGCCGCCTCGTTCTCGAGGCTGCTGCTGACGCCGTTCTCCTGCACATCTGCCCGCCGCGCCAGCTCCGCCTCCGTGGGAGCGGCAAACAGATCTGCCAGCTTATCCTCACGCTTGCTCTGATCTGCCATGTTGATCAATTGCCTCAATCTACGCCCGCACCACCCGATCCGATCCACCACACTTGCGGCCAGCTGCCCTTTTGCAGTCTCAGCCCTCACCGCTGCCGCTCTTCCGCAACAAAGTGCGTGTGTGTGTGTGTGTGTGTGTGTGTGTGTGTGTGTGTAAGTGTGTGTGTGTGTAAGTGTGTGTGTGTGTCTCTCTCTCTCTCTCGTCTCTGTGTGTGTCAGTCTCTGTCTCCCTGTCTCTTTGTCACGCCTTTTTCTCTTCGATGAAACTGTGTCACGCATCACACTCTTTAAGAACAATGATACAACCAATGACATGGCACGTTTCGTAGTCTGGTGGTTCCGTGTCGGGCTGCAGAAGGATGGCATTGCATTCTGTGAAAACGCTGTGAGGGGGGTGGCATCAGGTAATCACTACACATGCATGTCGATAAATTATAAAGCTTTCCAAAACCTCTATGTACAGTGAATGTCGCCCACAGTGGCGGCTAGAAGAAGGGAGTCTGGTCTGGTCCATGAGCCCCCGGACACTCGCGGTGTCGAAGTGCCAGCTCAGGCGCTTGACAAAGCCATTCCTGGAAGAGGTCCAAGTTCAACTCAACATTGCCCCATGACCAAGTGCCACGGTCCTCGGTCAGCTCGTAGTACACGTGGTCGACGCTGTTTGCAGCAGCAAGGCTGTGATAGTAGCGGCCCGTCTGGGTGGGCGCGGCCAACTCAATAAGCAGTTGACGCATGCCTTGTGCCCGAGCGCCCCGCATCCATACAACGTTGGTGGTTCCAGCTCCGTGCGGAGCAATGACCACGTCAGCGTCATACCACAAATGCTGAGTCATCTCCAGTTCTTGCTCTTTATAGCTGAAGATTTTGACGCGATGCTGAGTGAACACGCCTCGGAGCATGGCCACCATGGCCGCATGATTGGCCACGGCACGGTGATGGTCTCCTTGCGGGTTTCGCTCGACAATGAGTAGGATTGGAGCCACAGCCAGTCCGGCTCGCCAGTGCCGCGGGTTGGGCTGAAGATGCCGCTGAAGCAAGCCGATGCGTTCTTGCACGGTAATGGTCAAAGACTGCGGTGCGACCAGAACCCGGGTGCTACAAGCCACTGTGGTGTGGTTGAGAACGTAATGTTTTGTGCCAAGAAAGCGCTCCAAAATCCGGCTGCTGGACACCACCGCAGCTCGGGCTGTCAGGGCCGGGTGAGCCTCGACCAGTCGATACCAGCGTGGGAGCACGTCCCACACGGTATGAAAATACGTCTCGCCGTGACTTTGTGCCAGGTTGATGACGGGGCTGGCCACAGGCAATACCGTGCAGCCGTCGTCGAGGCTCGAGCAAAAGGCCTCACGCTGCTGTGGCGCAAAGTTCTGGTGACAGCAGCCCCCAGCCACGTCAAAGGTTACGCCACTCGAGTGTCGCACCAAGCCATTGTCGTTGATGCAGAGTGGGGCACTTTCGTGGGCCGCTGTCAGATCCAGCGCATATGACTCCTCAGCAACTGGAATCAGCAAGCTGACAAGCCCAATTTGCCCGATGCACTGGCGGACGGGGCCGTGAATCATGGCGCGGAGGAGTGCGGTTGACTCGCGGGTGTTGGGGGCGTAAAAATAACACGAGGGCGTCATATCCAGACTGTCTGGGCCCGGGATCGAGTGCCGCCCGGCCACAAGGTTCAAGGCAAGCAACACCAGCAGCTGCAGGCGGAACATGGCCATGGTGGCGCACCGTTCTGCTGTTTTTAGCAGGCTTCTGGTGTCTGATGGACCCAAACACATTAGTCGTCCAACGCCGTCGGGGCCTGGACTTTAGGTTGGATGAGCGACTCTGCTCTTGAGGCAACGCACACGTGGCGTGCCTACGTCGCCGTCGGCATCCACAAGACTCTGTGCTTTGAGATCAGCGTGGCAAGAGCGAGTTTCTGCGCAGTTCTGTCTGCGGAGGTGGGTTATTCACTTAAAAAAACCAAACCCGCGCAGCCAACGCGCTCAGCTCTCCAAGTAACAAATGCACTCGACCCTTTAAAACATACCAACGCGTTCAAACCCTCCTTCATATCACCCGCTTCACCCGCACCAACACCACAGCCATCCACAGCCACAGCAGCCCTCCATCCACATTCAGAGACAGAGACAGGCGTCGACCAGCTTGCCAGTCTGATCTTGCCAGCCAGCTTGCGGTGTGTGTGTGTGTGTGTGTGTGAAACAAGTGCACAGGGTGAAGTGTGACTATATGCACACTTCCGTATAGCGCCATTTTTTTTTTTTTTTGTATTTTTTTCACACACACACACACACACACACACACACGCGCGCGGCGCTCTCTGTGTCGCTCTGTGTCGCTCCGTGTCCCTGTGGGCCTCTCTCTCTGTCTCTCTGTCCCACTCGCGGCTGCCGAAGTACCCATCTGCGTCGGTATTGGTATTGGTGTTTGTATTCTGCGGGTGTGCGGCTGTGTCGTTGTCGGTGGCGCCGTGTTCGTCGCCGTCTTGGTGGCGATGAGTCGAACCGGGTTTGGCCTCGCACGGCCATCAAGCGAGCCGCTGGCCAAACGAGACAAGTACGTGGATGGGTGTGGGTGCTTTGTGCTGTTGTGTGGGGTGGCAAGAGTCTGATGCTCGCGTGCTGTAGGATTGACTTGGGACAGGTGGATGAAAAACTGGCCAAACGTGTCACGCAACAGCTGGGCCGCCTGCAGGCCGAAACGCAACTGGAGGATGCGGCTTGGTCCTCTTTGCCCGAGGCGTGGCTGCACAAGAGCTATGCCACCACCTTCAGCTATGTGGGCAAGAAAAAGGCCAAACACGAGCAGCAACATTCAGCCATTCTGCGCCTTTATGAAGCGCACGCCCCCCTCCTGCCCGACTCCAGGTACCACCATCCCCGGC